TACTTTGGATGTGTCCTGTGATAGTAACCAAAAATCCTTCTTGTTTAACCAAGCATCCTCCTGTATGTTCGCTAGCCAGCTAATTGGTGCTGCTGTCGATGTATGTGGTAACGCTGAATTGTTTTTTGGATTAAGTATTTTTGTTTTTACTAGGATCCTATTGAGTCTTATTGTCAGCAATTTGGTCATGATTTTTCGAGCGTGCCCTATTAAGGTTATCGGTCTAGTTTGTCTCAGGTCTCCATCAAACGTTTCTTTCTTGCCTATAGGGTAGACCAGCCCATAACTCCACGCCTTCGGTGTTATTCCTGTGTCTATTGCAAAGTTTATTATTTCTAACAGAACTTCTAGTACGTTTTGTGGTAACTGTTTGATCATCTCATTTGAAATGTCATCGGGCCCCATTGCTTTGTTCGAGCCTGCCTCTGCGATAGTAGTCATCAACTCTTGCATCTCCACTTTTTTAATCAGTGACTCATACTGTTCTTCTTTGACTTCTTTCTTAGGTTCATACTCTGCCTTCCATTCCTCCCAGAAGTCCCAATTACTTTTGTTTTCTCTTGTCCAATTTCTAAAATGTGCTCTAACCTCTTCTTTGATTTTTTCTGCTTCTACTAACAATTCTTCTCCCTTTTTTATATTTTCTATCTCTACTCTTGCTCGTCTCCTCTTCAACACACTATCTATCATCTTCTTTGTGTTGGCTTGAAGGTTGTTCTCTCTTCTTTCGATTGCTTCTGCTATTTCCTCTCTAATCTCACTATTGTTTTCTTCCTGTCTACATTTGTGGATCAACCTTCTGATTTCCTTGATTTTTAGTATACTTTTTTGAATGTTTGTGTGTTCTAAATCTTCTTCTATCAGTTCCATTTTTCCACATTGTATCATTTCGCTTATCTTCTCGAGTTTTTTGTTTATTCCTTCTACAGCTGTGCTCAGATTTAAAGATTGTTTCAACTCTTTTAAATATTTCATTACCTTATTTATTTTAACTAGTGCTTTGTGCAAAATCGAGGCCTTTTTAGTCCTTGCTTCGAAGCCTCTCATGACTACCAATTTATTTTTGATATTGTTATTTGCCGCTTGTTTTATTGCCAGATTAAGCTTATGCCAAGCCTTGTTAAGTGTGGTTTCGTCGATAATACACTGAATCTGCAATCCTTCAACTTTATCTCCCACCTCTTTATTGAAGTTTTCCCAAGCAATAAAGGAAAAATTTCGAAACGTACACAAGAAAAGATAAAATCATGGATAGAACAGGCC